GGGTAATGCTGCTTTGGAAGAGTCAGCATTGCTGACAGTAGAGAAGCGAGCTGGTGCCAGGGGACTGGGGCTGAGCAGGAACAGTTGATGGGAAGTGACACCTCTACAAGGGTGCAAAGATGACAAAAGCCAGTCCTCCCAGGAAGGGTCACCTGAGTCAGACCATCCATGTGGATGAGGACAAGCGCTCAAGGTCAATGATGTGTGTGTGTTTCCCACCAAGCCTGCTTCTCCCAGGAAATGTTTAGGTACAGGTAAACGTTAGAGTAAAATGGGCCTCGAGAACAATGTTGTGCTCCTTGAGGGCAGGGACCCCAGCTGTCTCTTGCACCATCGTGTCCCTTCTGCCTGGTGCAGCGTTGGTGAGTGGCCAGGTACATGGTTTGTTCACGAATAACTAATTGTTTAGCAATGAGCTTGGAGTCCTGGTGGCACAGTGGTTAAGAGCTTGGCTGTTAACCAAAAGGTCAGCAGTTCAAGACCACCAGCAGCTCCTTGGAAACCCTATGAAGCAGTTCTACTCTGTCCTCTAGGGTTGCTACAAGTCAGTATCAACTCGACGGCAATGGGTTTTAATAAGCTTAATTCTTTCCTTTCTGGCAGGTGAGGGGATTATCCCCAGTAAAAGCAGAAGGCCTTGCCCATGGCCATATTGTACCTTGCTGAGAAGTACCTAAAGCTTTCAGCTTCCCACTTAATGGACTCACAGCCAATCAGTGGGTTGACACTATTCCTTGCACTCAAAGCATTCTCACACTAGTCTGGTTGTCTCCAAGGCCCTTTTAGAGTACGAGATGGATGACGAAGGGCTCTCTCCTTAGGGCGTATTTTGTAAACTAGGATATCCCCAGTGTCCCAGAGGAATGTATAAGTGTTTACAGATAATAAAACTGCAGGTCAAGAAGTTAAATTTCTAGTTCAATTTCTCACATTTAGGTGAACCTTTGGCACCAGCAAATAAAATTTCATGGAATTTGCACAACGTACAGAAATTTCTGATTGCTTCTATTTCAAGAACTGTTGTGATTGAGGTCACTTCTTTCACAAGATTTGTTTCTCTTCCCAAGCCTTCTAAATCTTTTATATCCCACTTAGGATTTGTAAATGGAGGCAGATGACAGTGGTAGAAAGAGCCCTGGACCTGGAATCAGAAAGCCAGAGTTTCGTCTCTGGTTCAGCAACAACCTCCATGAGTCACTGTTTCCTCATCTGTAAAATGAACAATTGGACTGGATCAGAGGTGACAATATGGCAGCCCCAGATGAGGAGCTGGCCTTGATACTTAGGGGATACTGTCACAGGCTCAATGCCTTCTGGACTTTGCCCATCCCAAATGAAGCCACCTAAATGGTTTCAC